AATGATGTGTGTTTAGCTTAAGTGCTCTCTTTTATTATAAATTCATTCTTATTAAGTGCTCTCTTTTATTATAAATTCATTCTTAAGTACTCTCTTTTATTATAAATTCATTCTTATCGGTACTTGAAGCCGGTAACTACATTGCCAAGGCCCTGCTCGTCGTGAGTGTAAGGTACATACATCGTAATAAATAATCACATCTCTATTGCCATTGGTTCTTATCCTTTGAACTACCGGGCCTTTTCGGTTTGGCCAAAGGTCAAGTTGGCCAATTCCTGCTATCATTCCGCTAACTTCGAGACACTGCACCATTCGTGAGGCCACCTTGCAACATACAGAGAGAACTTACACCAGTGTGCAACTCATGCAGAGCTGGAATGGCAGGTCTTAAATAGTTTGAGATTAAACGTAAATGCGGGTGATGCAGCACACTTTGTTTTCGGTAGTTACATGTTCATCTCATCTTTCAAATGTCTAAAATACGTTGTTGGACATAGGCCTTCCCCAGTCTGCGCCATCTCGTTGAGGTATGGTTTGCATCGCAGGGAGAAAATGCCAAAGTGGAGGCTAAATGTTAATATTTCTAAAGCACTAACGTAAACACATGTTCCGCCCTCTACACGAGTTCTCAAAGTGGGGAAACCGACACCTAGAGTCGTGAAATAATTTTGAGTGGTCGCGAGATCCTGCAACCTCCTCCTCCTCCTCGAACTACCCATCAGAACGCACCAAGTACCAGTTGGCGGTGATCCTGCAACCTCCTCCTCCTCCTCTTCTCCTTCTTCCTCCTCCTCCTCTTCTCCTTCTTCTCCTCCTCCTCTTCTCTCCTCTCCTCCTCTTCTCCTTCTTCCTCCTCCTCCTCGAACTACCCATCAGAACGCACCAAGTACCAGTTGGCGGTGATCCTGCAACCTCCTCCTCCTCCTCCTCCTCCCTCCTCCTCCTCTCTTCTCCCTCCTCCTCCTCCTCCAACTACCCATCATAACGCGCCTAGTACTTGTTAGCGCCGATCGCCCTGCCCGATGCTCGATAATGCATCAGAAAGCCTCGTAATGTAGGTATGCTTCCTTGTGCATGCATGCGTTATAGCGATTGTCAGAAATGCTTCGCTTCTGAGGGGAAATGGATCGCGAATCAATCTAAGTAACTTGTGGAGGTCGCAGAGAAAAAAGCTTGAGAACCGCTGGCCTACACAGGCACCGTGCGAGCCAGAACCACCCGGGATTCAGTTCACGCAGTAGCTGGGAAAGTTTTGTTGCACTGTTGCGTGTATATATATATATATATATATATATTATATATATATATATATATATATATATATATTGAGAGAGAGCGAGAGAGATGCATACATACATACATATGTGTGTATATATATACATAATATATATAACATATATAATATATATGTTGTGTGTGTATGTATATACATATACATATATATATATATATATATATATATATATATATATATATATATATATATATATATTATATATAAACACATACAAGCATGCACACATAAGCATATACGCATATATATACATACACACACTATACACATATGCATACACACTATACATATATGCATACATACACATACACACACACACACACACACGCACGGACGCACGCACGCTGTGCGCGCGCGCGTGTGTATATGTATCTGTATACATACGCGTGTGTGTGTATGTATATGTATACATACATACATACATGCACAAACGCATACACACTTTATACACACACATACGCACACACGTATACACACACACACACACACACACACACACACACACACATATATACATATATATATATATATATACTATGTATGTATATGTGTGTGTGTGTGTGTGTATGTATGTATGTGCTGTATATATATATATATATATATTATATACATATATATACATATATATATATATATATATATATATATATATATATATAATATATATATACATATATATATATAATACATATACACATATATATACATATACTACATATATATATACTATATATATATAATATATATACACATATATATACATATACATATATTATATATAATATATATATATATATATATATATATATATATATATATATACATATATATATATATACATATATATATATATATATATATATATATATATATATATATATATATATATATACATATATATATATATATATATAATATATATATATATATATATATATATATATATATATATATATATATATACACACACATATATATATACATATATATCATAAAGTAACATCTACCAACTGAAGCGTGGGCCCATGGATGCCTTTCTCTGACTGACGGAAGCAAGAAGCAACTCGCGGCTCCCATTTCCCCCTTGGCATCCCACTCGCGCCGCTGGTCATGAGAATCCCACACTTCCTACAACTTGAACAGCAAAGGTCGCCAATTCCATGCATAAAATCCCATTACAAAACAGAAGTCTGGTGCTTAAAAGTTATATCGTTGGCCTTCCTCAAACTGCAATTTTACAAAGGGTAATTTAACACAACCATTAGTCACATATATATGTAATTACAACATTCTTTACAAAAATATATACCCTTCTATAGGTACTACGATGCCTGTAGTAGAGCAATAGAGTTATCACAGGACTCAACTACCTCATTTGCCGACGCTAATACTTGCAACAGCAGGACTAGAACTTCCGTTATTCCTCCTCCTCATGCCCTCATGGAATTTCTGATAAAATCCATCCATACTGTACAGACTTCTTTTGTCAACTTCGCTAAACATCATAACATGCTAAGATCATTTACTCTAAAATCAGGTAACAGAAAGTATATTTTGTACAGATTAATATGTACAAGAGAGGACTTGACACCCAACTATAAATATGTTCCTCACACAACCACCGAAAAACGCTTACACTCCAAGCCGTTCCAAAAGCTGGCGGCGTCTCCAAAATGATTTTCGTAATTACAAAATATTATATTCGCTTTATATATACAGTGTGTGTGTATGTGTGTGTGTGCGCGCGCGCTTATTTATAATGGAAACTGGATGTAATATTTTCCAGTAAACATACTACATGTCTCCGTGACGTTTTAAGGATGAATATCAATAACCGATATAAATGAAATTCGTATGTTACGTATATGTGTAATAAAATGTTTTATACCAAATGAATTTTTGTTACTTAAATAGGGGTCTCAGTACCGAGTCCCTGCTCTAAGAGGTGAATCGCATTAACATCGAGTAGTTATCGCCTTTCCCACTTTCCGCCTCGGGTCTTCGGGTCTCCAGTAAGATGTTAGCATTCCGCGCACACCGACATTTCGGCTGATGCCTCCGTGGCGTTTCCTGTTGGTCGAATGTCATCTTAGGCTAATCCCTACATGCATTTCATCACTGGGTCTGAGTACCATTATAGGTACCTATCTATATCTTTGGTTCTGTTGATATTACCCTACACATAAAAAGAATAAAGTAAAAAATCTGAGTATTTTCAATATCGATCCGAAGTGACTGCAGCTACTTCTCTTCAGTGTCTCCTGTGAGCCCGTCCGCGTTCGTGCCCAAGAGCTTCCCGTGGCGCCGGACGTCCTCCTCGCCGTACAGGAGCATCAGGTTGCTGGAGCGCTCACTTACGAGGCCGAACATGTCCCGGGCGCTGCGAATCCCGCCCACTTTGCTGCTGTTGATGCTGTCGCACAGGAGATTCGTGATGGCGTGCCCGACAGTTTCTGCGGTGGTGCGACCGTGCCCAGGATCGAGGAAGATCCACTCGGTTTGAATTCCACGCCTACGGGCATATTCCCGCACATAGGAGATGTGAGTCTGAGGGTCAGTGACGAAGGTAATGGTTCTTATCCCTTGCTTGATCAGTTTCTCCAGGACTTTCTCGAGACTCGCGCTCACGGCGGCCGCTGTTCGATCTCTGGCGTCGGACATGACGGCAAACCCTGTGGTTTCCTCCTTGGACCAGACATATCCGCACTGCATGTTCACCGCACCTTGGGGCTCCGCCGGCCCGCCCGTGATGACGGAATGGAACAGAATGAGAGGTGCCCAGCCGCTCTGAACAACTGCATGATGCGGCGAGGCCTTTGCTTCACACTTTGCCTTAAACACTTCTTCGTACATCTGGCACGTGCGGTTAAGGTGAACCTTCAGGGCGCACAACTCGCTCTCTAAAACGTCAATCACTTCCGCCAGGGAACTCGTGACAGTTCTTTTCTCTTTCTGTACATTGTCACAGTCATTCACGAACCACGCGTTATAGGTCAGCAGTGCTTGGCGAGCCCTCAGCGCCCCCAATGTCGCCATGAAAGTGCCCCAGGCCTCATCATTAGACAGTATCTCCTCGATGTCTGTGTCGATAGCAAGCAGTCGTCTTTTGATCAAGCTTTCAATCTTCAGTTCTGGATTTTGGCACGTCAAGCACACACAAACACTCATCTCATCCGCTTTCAACTTTACAACATTTTCAGGAATGTTCTTGGCGAACGTTTCAAAAGAGCAGACCCTGCAGCTGTCGGCCAGGAAGCGTTTGTGGAGCACCTGGAGGAAGTGGAGGCGGGCCCTCAGGAGGCCCTTCCCGCCCGGCCCCACCTCGCGGCACCGTTGCGACACGTCCTCTTGCGCCATGAAGTCGTGAATCATCTTTGACAAGTCGTCTTGACTGGCCGTGCTTGGCAGCCCCTCGCCCTGCTGGCCTGGATCTCCCTCCTGTTCCAAGTCTGGTTTAGCTTCTGCCGCTTTTTTATGTATTCCTCCTCCTGCCGATTCCTGCGTCTGAGGCTGGGGTTTCCCTCCAGCGAGAGCGTTGTCTCTCTCTTTCACTTCAGTCTTTTTGCCGCCGACTGTCTTGAGCAACTTTCTCCTTAATATCTCATTCTTCTTCTTTTCTTCTTGGAGTTCTTGCTCTAAGCATCTGATTCTGATTCCCTGACTTACTATCTTCTGCTTCAAACAGCTCATTTCTAGCACTTTTCGCTTCTGCAGCTGAAATTTGTGGAAGGACCTGAAGTTTTTCTTCCAATAATCACGAACTAATCCCTGAGAAACAGACGGGGTTGATCTCTCCCTTTTCAGCAAATGGCCGTTACTGGAGATTTTGTTCCATTTCCTCTTCAACCCTCTCTGGCCTTCTGATAGCCACGTCTGTGTCCTTCCCTCCTGTTCCTGCAGATTAGGGAAAAAACAACATTAAGGTGATTCAAGTTTCTTGTTTTTCTGACAGAAGATGAAAAGTACTTTAAATTATGATGGAGTTCTAGCCATTTCCTAAACAAATTATACGATTTTGACAATTAAGATGCTTTCATTTTAATAACATTCTTTAATAATGATCATAGTCATGGCAAATTTTCCTTTCTATTGGAAAATGATGACTATGCCGGGATAAAAATGAACTGCTCTGTAAATAGAATTCATGAAACATAGACATCCAAAATGACGCTCGGATTTTCCATTTCTGTTGTTGCAGGTGAAGTGCTTCAAATATGTTCTTGCCATGCATAGGAAAAATAATAAAAACTAACATTTCTTCGCATTAATTGGCCCTAATATTTGTTTCATTTCAAACCAACTAAATATGTTGCCATTCTATATTATAGCTACCAGTAGTCATGATCCTAAAATTGTACTTTTTAATCCTTTCTGGAACTCCTGCAAACTACACATTAACCCACAATTCTCTTATTGAAGTTTGCATTGATATATTGCAGAATGAATATGACCCAAGTCCAACACTGACCATGAAAAAGGTATATCTATTTAACATTAAAAATAATAATGATAATAATAATAAAAACCATCAAACCAAATATTTCACTAATATTATTCTGACTTCTGTCACATATATTATAATTAGATGTACACGAGCACAGTAATGGAACTCAAAAAGGTATAACATTAAAAAGATCAGTTTTATATAAAAGACCATATAAATTAATGAAATCAAGACCATTATCTGACATATTTACTGTAAGAAAAAAAAATCTGGCTATTGGTGTTTACTTACAGTTTGCTGGTGGTTTTCTAAAGGCTCTGCTTGTTCTTTGTTGAGCTGCTGGCTGCTCATTGGGTCTTCATCTGACAGAATGTTCCCTTGGCACACACTTTTTGGGGAAAGTTCAGCAACTAATATTGCACTTTGTTTACCCTGTGAGATGGAGCTGGAAGATGTTCCTTGGGAAAGTGAGTTACTAGCGGTATCTTGGGGCTTTTGATAATAAACATTGTTATCATATACTTCACTTATAAGTGACTTTTCACTGCTTGTACATAAAGCGGCCACTGGCTGGTAATGAATAAGTAATTCATTATCAGAAGCATCATTAATGTTGCCTTGGGATACATCCATTAGGGTAGCATCCTTGGTGGAGGCATCATCTGAATACTGTAACAACTGAGTACCTGGAACACCATCATTAACCATCATATAACTTACTTGCTTCAATGGGTCATTAACAGCACTAACACCTGCAAGCTTTGATACATTGAGTAGCTGTGTGTCTTTGGCAATTACTTCATTCTTAGAAATTCTTAAAGAATCTTCCTGATGGTAAATAATGTTGCTCTGCTGGGACAGATCACTAGCCTTTTCTGGCAAGAAGTTACTTTCAGCTACAGGATCACTGTCATGGGAAGTGATGACAGCCTCTTTTATGTTTTCATCACTGGAATACTGTAACTCATACAGTCCTATGGAATTATCTTCCAGATTGGGATTTTTCCAACCTTCTTGTATCACATCTGAAGTTTTTGTTGAAGCAGCTACTTTTTCTTGTGCATGTGCAGATTTATCTACTGACTTTAATGATAAATAGCTATTTTCCTGAAGGCCTGTTATTTCTTCAGTGCTCATACTTGAGTCATCACACAAGTCTTTAAAAGTCAGACCATACACATGAGCAGTCTGAGACCTAGTACTTCCAATCCGGTTTGGACTAGTGTTTACTAAATCAGAACTTACTTTTGTAGGCAAGGCATTGCTATTATTTTTTCTGTAAACTCCTTGATTTTGCTCCAACGATTCTAAGAAGTCAATGTTAGCTTTTCCATTTGCTTCAAAAGAGAGATCAATATGTGAATCCCCTAAAGTTTCTCCTTTCACATCACATGAACGAAAAAGTTTATCTGATGAGCCATCAGAGTTCAATACGTGACATGGAACAGCATTCTCAACACTGTTTTTTACAAAAAGTTTCTGCTGTTCAGGTAATGATACACTGTTGTCATAACTGAAGGCAGCATGTTCCTGCTGTGAGGGAGAAAGTTTCTTTGGTGAATCAATTGTGGTACCTTGGGGTACTGCAATGCACTCCTGTGTCATATTAGAAGTGGCTGATTGAAGTGGAGATAAAATATTCTCTACTGATGAGCCTACATGAGGCACAAAAACAGTGACACTTTCTTCGATAGTAGCAGATTTCATTACTTCCTGAGTCATTATCTTAGTAGGGACCAGTGTTGTTGCCTGATGCAATGGTGTACTATCATTTGCTGTTGGCAAAATGGGACGAGGTAGAATTTTTCGTTTTGGTTTTGTACCGCAGACAGCTTTGGCTCTTCTAGTGAGATATCTTCTTTTATGAACTATCTGAGGAGAAGTTTGATTTGGTATTCCTTTGCTGATTGCTGGTAATGGCAACTTCAAATTTGAACCAACCTGAGCCACTGACTTCAGCTGAAGTGAGAGGCCCTGAGATGATATGTTAGTTTCTTCAGGCCTGAGTTGTATATCACTTTGATGAAGTTTGGGGGCAACAGGCTGAAACTTCTGAGAAGACATCAGCTTGTTTGACATAGAGGTACTGACAGTCTTAATTTGCTGAATGGGAATGCCCTGATGACTAGCATCTCGGGTAACACTTTGAACATGATGCACCTGAACAAGATGATGAGTTCCTGATGATGTCACAGGACAAACTGGCTGTAATGAAAGCTTGGTTTGCTTTGACTGTGTCATTGACTGAATCTGCTGGAAGTTCAAATTCCTCTTCCCACTAGTGTGAACATTTGAAGAAAGCTGTTGGATAGGTACTGCTTGCTGGGGAACTGCATTTGGATTTGGCTGAATTTGTTGAAGGGGCTGCTGCTGCTGACTAGACTGGAGTTGTATGGGAAGTGGAGAACATGTATTGATTGTACTGACAGGATGTACTGTTTGTATTGGAATATTGTGCTGCTTAGAAGCAGAAAGAATACACTGCCCCTGAACAGGCACTGCTTGTGTAGTGATTGTTGTGATGTTTCTCAATTCCTGAAGAGGTACAGCTGATCGTGTACAAGGATGTACGCTGCACACCCGCTGTACTGGCATATCTTGTCCTGCACTTCCAGGACTAATGGCTTGAAGAGACTGTACAGAGAGTTGCTGCTGTACAGCTGCAGTGGGGACAGGCTGAACTGATATAGATGTTTGCATACTTGCAGGTGCAAGCTTTGGAAGTGATGGCATTATATTTGAAGATATGTTTGGTAGAGGCTGAAGTGGCACACCATGATGAGCATTTGCTGAAGGCAAGGCTTGCAATGGTTGAAGTGAATTAGTAGTCACAACTTCCTGGAGAGATTGTAATGGCAAAGACTGATTCATGCTTACAGCCGGAATGCTCTGTAACTGTTGTATTGGTACAGACTGGGTTGAATTTTCAAATGGTGCATTTGGCAGCTGCTGCAAAGGCAAAGGCTGCTGTGAACTTACAGTTGGAATGTTTTGTAACTGCTGAACTGGAAGAGCTTGTTGAACATTGATAGGTGGAATGCCTTGAAGAGACTGAAGTGTTGTTGGACTTTGCTGAATGTTGGCTGAATTTATGCTCTGAAATTGCTGACTTGGAACATTTTGTGAAGTTGAAACAGGATTAATAGACTGTACTTGTTGAAGAGCAGACACTGACTGCATCTGCTGTGAAGGGATATAGGCTCCTGGATTACAGGTGCTATGCTGTGGGCGTGGCAAAAGTTTTCTTCCAGGTGTAAGAGCCTTTCTTGGTTGCATGCATCCATTTTTGGTTGGTTTCACAGTCTGCATGCCTGAAGCACAAGTTGAAGTGAATTCTGGTACTGCTGCTTGATTCTTTACTTGAGTTGGCACATGGGCAGGACTCTGTATGGGTAATGTTCGAGAAACATTTACAGTAGTGGGATTAACAGCCAATACATTGCAAGTGTTACCTGAAGCAATGGACTGTGGCTTATTCAATGAATGTTGAATATTTGTTTTGTTAGACTGCAACTGTCCCATATTCTTGGGGAAAAGAGGTCGTGGTAATATTTTACGGCCCATGGAAGGGCTTGACTGTGATTTCAATGGTGACACATTTTTGATAGTCAAACCCTGTTGCTTCTTTGGCTCTGCCTTTTGTGCTTGATGCTGAGCAACAACCTGTACTTGTGTGACTGGGAGAGGATTTGCACTAAAATTCAAATTCTGAATCTGTATTTGTGGCCTTGGTAGGATCTTTCTCTTAGTTCCCACAAGGAGTTGATCCGACTTCTGCACTTTGAAGATTTGTTTTCGCTGACCAGTGCCATGCAATGGCTTCTGGGGATCGTCACAAAGTCCAACATCTGCCACAATTCTCTCTCCTTCTTGCTTGAGCTGGAAGACACATGACATTTGTTAACCCAATGTCACCACCTGCTTGAACAGCAATGGTTAATGTAGTAATATTAGCACTATATGATTAATGATTAATCATTATTTTACCCCCTTTTGTATGCTAACATTTTTAAGGAGAAACAAAAAGCATGAAGAATCATAAAAAAAATAAACTGTTAGGAAATTTGTTATAGAAGTAATCATTACAAAATCACCATAGTAGTCATCAAGTAGTAATTATGAGAATACAAAAATCATTAACAACTAATTTTGTTAATCTATTACCAACTCAAAAGGAGTTAACCAGGTTCAGAATGGTAATATTTCTAAGCTATGAAGAGACAGACATTTTGCTGCAAATCTTATCATCTCACACACATTCT